GGATTGCACCCCCATTAGTGATTAAATCACTAATTCCTGGTGGGCTCCTTCACCCCAACACATCATCTGGGAGGTAGCGGGGGCACAAATTGCCTGCAGCAACTCCCCCCTGCAGCATCAGCCATTAGAAAATACTGCAATTTATTCCATCTCCTTCCAGAAATACACTTTTTACACCATTTCCAAGCAGGGCTCTTTTTTTTTTTTGTTTTTTTGGGGTTTTTTTTAAATAGAGGGAAGGGGGGAGAAGTCACTCGGCGGGGGACTGACCCTCCCCGGCACCTGGCGCGGGGGCCAGGGGGGCGGCGGTGGGCTCGGGGGGGGCGTCGCGGGTGCGGAAGAGCAGCTCCCCGGCGGGGATGACCTGCTCCGCCTGCCAGGCGCCGGCCGGGCCGTACTGCTGGTAAAAGTCCGTGTCGGCCTGGAACATGACGAGGGCCTGAGCCGTGTGGATGCGGACGTGCTGCGCCAGGCTGCTGGCGTCCAGGAATTTTTCTCCGCAGGAATCGCAGGCGTAAAGGATCTGGGTGTTAGGGTCTGTTAAAAAAAAAAATTTAAAAAAAAAAATTAAAAAGGGAAGCAAGGAGGCAGCTGAGCCAACCCCCACGCCTTGCCCCTTCCCCTTCTCACCTGCTTCCTGTACTTGTTTCACCGCTTTGGTGATCTCGGCTGCTGCCACGGGGACCACTGTGGGGGGAGAGGAGGGAAGGCGATGGCAAGGAGGGGGGGTCAGATCATCCCAGCTGGAGCAGAACAGGGGTTGGGGAGGGGGCTCCAGCCAGGCCGGGATGTTTCCCAGACTCAGGCTCCAGCAAAGGGCGCTACAGCCCAGGGATGTGCTGCCAAGCACCTCTGGGACAGCTCTGGGACCCCCAACCTGCACCCCACCGTTAAACCTCGCTTTTGGGACGGCTCTGGGACCCCCAACCTGCACCCCACCGTTAAACCTCACTTTTGGGACGGCTCTGGGAGTCTCCGGCTCACCTGTGAGCTGCGTGACAGCGGTGGCGGCCAGCGCCTCGGTGGCCAGCGTCACCATGTCATCGGAAGCCACCGTGACGATGTTGACCTCGTCGCCTTCCTCCGGCTCGAGGATTTTGATGCCCGCCTTGCCCTGATGCACCGTCTTCACGTGGGAGCGCAGGTTGTCCACCCGGTTGAACCCGCGGCCGCACTTGTCGCACAGGAACGGCTTCTCCCCTGGGGACGAGGTCAGGAATTGGGGGTGGTCAAAGATTTGGGGGGGTGGTTAAAGACTGAAGAGGTAGTTAAAGGTCTGTAGGGTGCTTAAAGATTTTTTTGGGGTTGGTTAAAGGCCTGGGGAGTGGTTAAAGGTTTGGGGGGCGAGGCGGGGTGCTGTGACGGTACCCACCGGTGTGGATAATGATGTGCTTGGAGAGATCCCCCACGTTGACGAAAGCTTTGTTGCAGACGCTGCATTTGTGGGGTCGGATATTATCGTGGTGGCGGATGTGGTTGGCCAGTTGGCTGGACTGCACGAACCTTGTGGGGACACACACACACACACACGATAGGTCACCATGATCCCCTGACACCTCCCTGCTCTGCGTTCCATCACCTGTCCCCGGAGGGGGGAGCAGAGGTGCCCCCTAAAATTCCTGGGGCGTCCCCTCACCTCTTGCCGCAGCGTTCACAGACGTAGGGCTTCTCCCCCGTGTGCTGGCGCACGTGGGCGATGAGGGAGCTCGCCTGGGTGAAGGCTTTCCCGCAGATCAAGCACTGGCACGGCTTCTCTCCTGGGGGAGGAGAGGGAAAAGCGCGTGAGGATCAATAACCCAGGGCTGGGGAGCCCAAGGCTCCCCCCAGCATCCCCTGAAGGGTGGGGGGAGCAAGAGCAGAGCTGCATCCCTACCCGTGTGGATTCGGACATGTCGCTGCAGCGCCCCGGGGTCGGCGAATTGGCGCTGGCAGTGGACACAGACGTAGGGTTTCTCCCCGCTGTGGATCCGGAGGTGCCGTTTCAGGTTCCCTGAGAGCAGATGAGGCTCAGCCCTGGGTTGGGGGGGCGGCACGGAGACCCTAGCACCCTCCCTCCATCCCTCCCAGCACCCCTGTAGCCCCCTGGGGAAAGCCCATCGCGTCCCCACGGGGCAGGGAGCACTGATGCCTGGAGCTGAGGGTCAGGGGGTAACGTGGTGGTCGGGACGGCCAGAACAAGCAGCTGTGGGGATGGAAAGACTCTTCCGGGCTCATCCAGACCCTCCCCCGGCTCCGCAGCAGTTTGGAGGGATGGGAGGAGACACCCCCGGGTGTGATCCCGTGGGGGATGCCAGCCCAGCCATGCATGGGGAGAAATTCATGCACTGCAACCATGGCACCACAGTTAAACTCTCCTATGCCCAGGATTAAATCCTTCCTCTGGGTTCTGAACCCCCATGGAACAGTCCCTGACCCCCCTCAAACCAGCCAAGCCCCCGTCGCTTGCACCTCACCACCTACCCACCCCATGCTACCTGAAGTGGTGAACTGTTTGCCGCACTCCCGACACTTCAGGGGCCCATCTGCGATGTGAATCTTCAAGTGAGCCTTCAAATTCCCCACCTGGCAACAGGGAGAGGGATGCAGAGACCCCCCCACATCCCCCCTATTTCCCTCTGGAAGGACCCGAACCGCCATGGGTCCGGCTCTTTCTCCCCACCCCACTCACCTGGTTGAATTTCTTGTCGCAGTGGGGACACTTGTGCTCCTTGTTGGTGTCGTGGGTCTCCAGGTGCCGCATTTTCGAGGTGGGATCGGAGAAGGAGCGCCCGCAGTAGTCACACTGGTAGGGCTTCTCCCCGCTGTGGACCAGCTGGTGCCGTTTGAGGTTGCCGGAGGTGGTGAAGAGCTTGCCGCAGTCATCGCAGCGGTACTTGGCCTCCCCCGTGTGCCGTTTCTTGTGGAGGTTCAGCAGGCTGATGAGCCGGTAGCTCTTCCCACACTCCTCACAGCCGTAGGGCTTCAAGGGGCTGCAGAGGAAACGAGGTCATGGTGTGGAAGCGGCGTGCAGAGCCGAGCCCCACTGCCCCAGCTCAGCCCCTCCGGCCCCCCCAGGACGTCCTGACGCAACACGAAAGGGAAGGACAGGGGCAGCTCCCGTCCCCTCCCACCCCAACGCACAAAGATTTGTTCTTTGGCAGCAAAATCCCCGGTTTTTTAGGTGCTTCTGGCATCTTTTTGTGGCTGGCACCATCCAAACGAGCTGCTGGGAGTCTCCAACCCTGCAGCGCCAGCCTCTCCAGAGGAGGGGTTGAGTCCTTACAGCCTCATCCAAACCTTCCCCCACCGGCCTCGTGGCCGTACCTGTGCGTTTTCTCGTGGGCTTTGCAGGCAGCTGGGTCGGAGAAAGCTTTGTTACACTCCCTGCAGGAAAACGGTTTCTCGCCGGTGTGGATACGGATGTGCCGCTTGAAATTGCCAGTGTGGGTGAACTCCTTCCCGCAGTCCTAGGGACAGAGACGCGGCCGGTGACGCTGCGGTGGCCCCGAGGGACCGGAGATCCCCCCGCGGGGGCCCACGCCCGGCCTCACCTCACACTTGTGTGTGACGGAGCCGTAGGCTTTCGTCTCGGTCCTGTCGCTGTAAGTACCCGAACGCAGCAGACGGGTTTCACCCGAGTTTTCCTGTCCAGAGTCGGTGCTCCCCGATTCGTTATCTTCAGCGTTTTCTCCGTTTTCTAACCGGGGTTGCTCTTCCTCAGGGATTTTAGCTTCCTCTTCCTCCTCTGCTGTCACCTCCCCCTCTTCCTCCTTCCCCTCCAGCTTCATCTCTGTCAGCAGTTATAAAACGGGGACGCTAAAGATCGGGAGCAGCATCAGAGACACAAACCCCACCTGTATGTCCTAACTCTAAGCCCGTGTTTAAGGCGGTGGGGATTAAACCTGCCCTACTGTACTCCGGAAAACCCTGGTACTCCATCACACGACACAGGTGCCTGGAGTCAGTTTGGATTTGCAAGTTATTAGCCCTAAAATCCAAAAGCCAGCACAGAGAGAGGAGCACTTCCCAACCTCTCCTAGCTCTGGCCCAAGGAAACTTGCTCCCGTGAGCTCTGTGACTCGCAGGAAACAGTGTTTGCACAGCAAAACTCACACTAACCAAATTATTTGCACGGAAAACAAGGGTCCAACCCTTGCCCAGCCCTCCTGGAGGGAAGGGGCAGACAGCAAAGCCCTCACCCCCACCCTCGCCCATGAACACACCTCCTGTTTCGGTGCCCTGAGAGACACTGCCCTTCGCCGTGGGGCTGCCGTCGCCAACCACGCTCTCCGCTGGCTGCAAGTGGCTGGTGAATTCCGCATTGGGGCCCTCTTGGATGGCAGCATCTGCCCCCAGAAACAATAGTGTCTCAGGCACGCACGAGGAGACAGGCAGGCTGCAGGCAGCAGAGTCTGGCTGCAGGACAGGGTGCGTTTTGGGGGTGAGAGTGGGATTTCAGGCGGTGTCCCACGGTGGCTCACCTTTTTGGCCACTCAGCTGCTCTGCCTGCACCTCTGGCTGTGTTGCTGCTGCGGCAGCTGGCGTCTCTTCCTTCCCCTCCAGGTCGGGAGGAACTGGTTTTGTTTTGTCGAGATCACCCAGTGGTTCTGCCACCTTCTTGTCCTCGACAGTTGCCTTGTCAGTCCCTGCGAGGGAAGAAGCAAATCGATTCAGCATTTGGGGCCCAGGCAGGGGCTGTGAGAAGGATTCCCACATCCCAGAAAGATTTAAGGAGATGACAGGTCTTCAACTGCTGGTGCTGCACAAGGGTATCAAACCCCATCCAGACATCCCAGGTGTACCCAGGACGTGGATTTGGTTGGTGGCCAGAGCATGCGGCTGCTTCATGGGGCAATTCTGAGTCTCCCTGGATGAGGGAGAGCGAGGAGGCTACGTACCAATCTCAGCAGGGTGCTGCTGGCTCTCGGCGGGGCTTTCTGCTGGCATGGAGAGGGACTTGAGAGCGTTGCAAGCGCTGACAATCTCCTGCATCTGGAGGAAACCCGCCACGGCCATCACGTCTTCCACGTTGTCAGGGTTTAGGCTCAGCTTAGCAGTGTACATGAACTCCAAAACCTGACCCAAGCCTGCCAGGGAGGTGATGCAACCAGAAATAAGCTTTCACCTCCTGGCCACACAATTTTGAAAAGCCCGCAGTGCGCCAAATAACAGGCTGAAGAGCCTCCCTCAAACCCCAGGCACCAAACCACTTCATTTAAGCATCTCGGAGGGATATCGGACAACCCCCTGCCTACCCGCTGCGTTGCTGATGTCGAGGTGCACCACGTCCTTCTGGTCGACGAAAAGCATCCTGAAATACTCGCTGCACGCCGCCAGCACGGCTTTGTGGGCCTTGAAGTTGATGCCGTCCACCACGAAGGTGCAGTCGCACAGCAAACCCAGCTGCCGCTGCTGGTTCAGCTGTTCCAGGACTTGTTTGCTATGCTGGGGGAATTCCATGGCTGCGGGGAGAAAACAAAAAAAACAAACCCCGGGGAGGGAAGTGAGGCGGGTGCCGAACCCCTAATGCCACCTCAGAAAGGGCCACCAAGCAGGACAGATCACAAAGTCATGGATCAACCACAGCCTGATTGCCCTGTTCGTTAAAACATGTGGCCTGAAAAGCCTAATTTCAGCTCCTCGCTACAGCCACCTGCCTCCCCCACCACAGACAACCCCAAAACCTCTCCTGCTGCAGCTGCAATGTCAACACAGGGCTGGAGAACGAGTTCACTGAACAGTCAATATATTTTTTTGCCATCCTAACAGTATTTAAAATACATTTATTCCTCTTCAGCCAGCCCAAGCTGCGAGCAGGAACCCCGTTGCCTCTGCAAACACAAGTCCACGGTCCCTCTGGCAAGCAGGAGCTCCCGCTGAGGGCGCAGCACAGAAAATGTTCAAAAAACTTCAAGCTCCTGCTCATTTTAGGTGCTCACATCATGATATCGAGGGATTTTTATCTTTTATTGTGTGTCTGGAGAAAATTCTCCCTGCTCAAAGTGCAACTTTTGCAGAGGAATGCTGCAAACTCCTGGAAACACTGTAAAAGCCCATTTTTGAATGAGGTCCTCGTCGGCAAAGGTTGAGGGGTGCCGCGAGCTCGATCTGCTGCCACGCGCTGGGTTTTCTTCTGGGCTGCACCCGCAAGGCACAGTGTAGAGAATGAAGGGTTTGCACTCCGCTTTGTTTTCAGAAAATGATTCCTCCGTGGGCTAAAGGGATTGTTTCATCACTTGCCCAGCAAGCGATGAGCAAGGAAGGAGGAGAAAGCAAACACAGACTATCCACAGTTACTGTTCAACAGGCCAGGACGTTGCTAAAGCTCTGGAAGAAACAAAGTTACAGCCACGGAAACACTCTTGGTTTCGATGCTAAGTCTATGCTTGGTGTCTCTCTAACGTTTTCCAGCCCATAGCAGCTGCTTTTCCAGTTTACCAGGTCTTAAAAACAGTACCAGGGAGTCTCAGGTCGAGGAAAAGCAACAGGTTTGGATCCACAAAACCGGGTCGCTTCCAGACAGCAGCGAGCACGTCCCTTCCTCCACGTGCAGCCGGCGAGCACCGCGGGCAGAGGGAGCCTCCTCCTGTCTGCTGCGGGTGCTAGCAACGGCCTCGAGGAAAGATCTTCCACTCAAGGATCGATTCGGCTTCCAAAATCATTTCCAGCGGGGGTGAAGAGCCCAGAAACCTCCGACAGCATCGGATCACGCGCAGAGAGTTTCACTCCCAAAAGACGCCGTTTGTCTTTGCAGTTAACTCGCCACCACAACTTTCCCCCAGCTCTCCAAAACACGGGGTACTTTTTATACATCCCTTATACAAAATACATCCCTTGAGAGCCAGAAAAATCAGTATTTGTATCAAAATCCGTCTAAACCCCTGCATACGTATGACCCTATAGGGTTTGCAAAGGAAGCTCTGGAAAAAAAGGGGAGGATTTTCCCAGCAGGACAAACAACGCTGCGTTCCATGCTTGGAAAGCTCCGTGCAGCAGGACCTGAGAAATCACGATGGTTTGATGCACACAAAAAAGGCTATTTTCAGTAATTTGTAGGAGGGACTTTACATCTGAATGATGATTTTTATCCCCAATTGGACTCGCCTCAGCTTTGCACCCCAGCTTTGCGATGGAAGTAAAATCTCAAAAAACTCAACACTTCCCAGTAAGCCTCCTCTTTTCTGTGGTTTCCTCCATGACACCACGTTAGAGCTTCATCGGAGCACGTGAGCGCAGCGGAACAGAGGTTGGGACAAGCTGCGTGTCACCCTCCGCCTGAATCCAGCGTCCAATGTCCTCCAGCAGCTCAGATCACCTTTGTACATTAAAATCCCTGACTCCAAGCCTTAAAAATCCCAAATATCTGGATCAAAAATCCCACGGTGCACCAGAAACACCACCCTGGCTCCTTGCCACCACTCGGGCAGGGCCAGTTTGAAGCTCCGGTGTTGAGATCAAATGGGATGCGCTGAAATGGAGATGGATCCGGGGAGGGAAAATGCCAAATCAGGCATTGCTGGTCCACCCGACGGCTAAATAAATCAGCTCCCATTCGCACAAACCCATCGCTGTCGGCTGTTTAAGTCAGCAGTGCTGTCTGAGGAGCTCTGACACACAGAGTTTTCGCCTGACAAACAAAGATAAGCCAGAATCGGTGCCTGAACTCACCCCTGCGCTGCCAGGAGTGGAGATATCCAGGGGACCAAGGCTGCAGGCGAGATGGATGCAGCTCTCCTTCACAGTTTTCCCCCTTCCCAGTACTCAAGTCAGTCTCTACGCAGCCATCCTAGGAGAAACAGGACAAAAAGCTCCATTTAAAAACCCAAACCTTGCGTGTGGAAGGCACCAAGGCCCGGCGTTACCAACCCAGGACCGGGTACCCACCAAGTGCACCTTGTCGGAGGCACACAAGCGCCGTTTCCCCTCCTGCCCTCTCCCTGACATGGCTGTTGAGTCTCTCATTACCCGATTAATCATAGAAAAGCTTTGTTATAAGAACACCGACGCACGCAGAGATAAAATACAGCAGCTACAGTCCCAGGGAGCTTCCCACACGAGCTCTGCTAAGCTCTCTTGCTTATTAAAGACATTAACCTCTGCCTGTACTTGCCACCCAAGTGTCTACCTATCAAAAAACCCCCAAAGCCTCAACAAATTGGAAAACAAAATAATGGTTTAAACAATGCCTTTCAATGCTGTCACCATCCAGCCACCCATTCTTATGACAAGATAAAAGGGAAGAGGGAGTTTACTTTCTGCCTACCGTCATCACCCTTCTTGTGTGTCAGCTCGGGGAACAAAGCAGCCCTAATCCCTTCAGTCTCTGCGAAGAGGAGTCTGTCCTCATTTCCACTAACTGATTCTGCAATATTTTCAGTTAAAAAAAAAAAAAAAAAATGTTAAGAGCTGATCTGACCAGAGCATTCAAGGTACAGATGTGCCAATAACATAAATTATGAAACAGAGAAAAGCTCTGGAGTTTGTGGTCAGCAATAAAACCGGAAGGTAAGTTCACATTCTGCTGTAAGGGGTGGGGGGGAATGACAAGCAGGAAAATAACTTGTTGAAAAGGAACTAAAAGGAGAAAGACACAAGGAGAGAGATGAACAGAGACAGGCTGGACGACCCCCAGTGAACAGACACCCTGCAGAGCCCTCGGTTATTTAGATTTCAGGCCCAGGGATAGGCTCGTGCAGGCAGGGCTGCCCGCAGGTAACCGGAGCCCTGGGCTGCAGCAGGCAGGGAGCCAGCGGAGCCACTGAGACATCGCCAGACCTCGAGCTCAGCCGTGAAAACCGCCCATTTCTGCAGTGCCTGGATGATGAACTACAAAACCTTCATCTTCTCACAAAAATCCTGCCTTGGGTATGCTGCCCAATCTCTGAAATTTTGGCAGAAGCTTCTAACGTAGAAATGCAATTAAGGAAACGTGGTTTGTCCATGAAACATGTCATCTGTGTCCAAAAAGCGACGCCCGCAGAGGGCACGTACAACCAGTACAGGATGTCATCATGCCAAAAAAATATGCTGGAAGATGAGAAAACCCCTTTTTCCCTTGAGCTGCTGAAGTTTTCTCCGCTCTTCTGCTGGCGACGTCCTCGACGCGCAGGCAAACAACTCACGCGGTGTCGGGGCGGTGTCAGCTGTCAGGGCTGCGACCCTCACAGATGTCCCACTGAGTCCTGAGGGGGTGGCGGCTGCCCCACACTTAGGGGGAGGAAAGAGCTTTGCTCCTGGCCTCGCCTCAAATCACCCCACGGCTCCGTGGAGGGACACACGTCTCCCACAGAGGACATGGACACCCAGATGAGCTGGCGAGGGCACCAGCAGCCCCCCCGCTCCCCTCACGACAGCTGCCCTAGGCCTGAGGAGGGAGTACAGGGTGCAAATCCAGGGGGGATGAGCTGCCACCGCCCTCCCTCGGGTGCTAAGGGGATGGGGAGGACCCCCACGCAGCCTCCTCTCAAAAGATCGGGGGGCACACACCGGAGTGCGCCTCAAAAACAGCTTCTTCTGGGGGGGACCCCGCAGGCAGCGCGCTGGGCCGCAGCCCCCTTCCCCTCCCAGCCCCCGTGACCCCCGCAAGGCCCCTCCTCAGGCC